TTTTTTTCTGATGTTATACTTTTTTATATTTGTATGAAGTTACATGCTTCAGCTTTTCTGCCATTTTGCTGCTGGTATAGCTGAATTTCTCCACAGGAACAATGGAGGTCATATCTCATATTTTCACTAACTCATTACATTTTTGAATGTTTTCTTTCCTTTAAAGCAAACATTCGGTTTGTAATAGAAAATACCCAGCGACTAACCATCTCTGAAAGTCTTGCCTTTAAGAAAATATTAACTTAAATCCAGTGAATAATGGACACAAGACCAGAGAAATGGGTCTTCATCACGTCCAACAGGATGAATTTGCCCCTGATGAGCCTGGTACCTTCTGGTAGGTGTACTGGATCTTCAGGCCTTTCTCCTTTGCCTCGTCTCGGAGCTCGGTGAGCCACTGGAGGAACAACGGGTTCGGACAGGACGGCAAGGCGCGCTTCCGTCCGAACCGAACCGGCTCGGAACCGGGCATCCCTGTAGAAACCCAACAGGACACGGACACTCGCGGTAAACTCACTGAATAACGCGAGAAAAGAGCGAGAAAACAAGGCATGAGTAAGCTAAGCTAACATTTTAGAGCGTTTATCTGAATGTTTTCACAAAGAAATGACAGATTGTTGAAGTAAATACCAGTGAAACATAGTTTTATCAGAAACAGTTCTAATAAGATAGCTTTGTGTCCGTTAAAGTTGCTCACCGTGGTATTTTCTTACTTACTGAGCTGCTGGCTGGCGCCTTGTTTTCAAACGTACCGAAGAACTTCCTTATTGACGTCGGTCACGTGACCCACGTCGCTGTGGAGCGCAGATGGAAAACAGCGACACCAAGCGGTGAGGATGGTCTGATACCGCCGAGAAAACCCGAAGATGTTTACGTTTTCTAAAAAAAAAAATACTCTTCTGGGTTTTTCTTTTTTTATGGCGATGGTGTTTTGTTGTTCTTGTTTGTAAATATTTTTTGCATTTTTTGTTATTATTCTGCATAATCTCACTCTAAAAATGGGTTATATGCTTAAAAAGTCTTTGATAAGGAAAAAATGTGCAGTGAAAAAATACAATTAAAGGCAACAAATGTAGCTCAAGCATTATATTAAACTGAGAAGAGTTTCTAGGAAGTTTTAATCAGTAATCAATTTAATTCACGACTTCCTGCATAAGAGGATGGGGTCTGTTGGTCTTGGCTTCTGTTCAAACATGGCAAAGACAAAAATCATGACATTGTGATGCAGCAGATGTGATCATGACTTGTCAGAAAGCTGTGACAAGAAAACCTCATAAGTTAAACATCAACCCTCAGATCAAGTGATTTGAGTTTGTTACACCATGCTGAGAACGCGCAATAACAAAAAACACCTGGAAAAAGATGGCCTGCTGCTGAATATGCAACATAGACTGAATCATAATCTGTTAAATCCAGGAGTTTATCCAGCATTTAGGACAATAGGATGTGTCATTTGAAAATTGTTCAAACGCCCAATCAGTGCAACAATATCCTGGGCCACACCCAGCATAACAGTGGGCAGGTCGCAGTTTTTTGTTTTTTGCTTGTTTTTTGATATTCCTTAAGGTGGAATTTATTTTTCTATCACTGAATACAATTTTTTTCAATGTGAGTTTAATAAATGAATAATTTAATTTTGCGGACCCTGGACTAATTTTGTGTGGCCCCCACAGGCCCTAGGCCACAATTCAAGGATAAGTTAAAGAAATTAGGACAAAAACTTAGATTTTTAAGTGAAACTGTCATTAAAATATATTAAATGCAACAGGAAGTGATAATCTTCTCCAAGCTTTCTGGGGTCTTTCTGCTGTCATGCTGACGCATCAACTTATACTATTAAGTTTTCTTTAAATCACCTAAATCTGCTGGTAATTCTTGTATTAAAACTTGGCTAAGTAAAGCAAATGTTTTCAAATGAAAACTGACATTTAATTCTGTTTTTCATGATAGAATAATTTTTTTTTTCAGTTTTCTTTTACCAAATCTAAAATAATAAGAAAACTACAGTTGCTTTCAACTGAACAAAGAAAATGTGCAAATATTTTGGATCTGTGAAAAAAAAAAAATCACGTTTTTGGTGATTTACATTTTCAAAATTATATTTTTTGACTCTAGAGTATTTCTGAGCTGAAGATTTTGGGCCATGTGACAAAAAGTCTGGACACCCCAGTTTTTGTCTGCTATTGTATGTTTTGCAGTTTAAAATGACACAAGAAAGAAAGTACATGTCGAACAGAAAACCTTCTGGACACGTCAAGAAAACGCTAATTTCATAAAAACAATGCTTAAACCTAATTAAAATGCATTACTTTTGAATGATTCCATTATTTTCCTACACAGTCTGTGTCTGTTACCTTTCACAGACCGTTATCCGCCTCGGTTTTCCTCCCTGTATCCCCGGGCTGAGAGCAGCTGGAATCCTGCGACAAGACTCGACAGGGATCAGGAATCCAACCTCTCCCCCCAACCGCAGCTTTTCTTAGACACAGTCAGTCCAACGCTTGGCAAGAAGCAGGAGAATGGGAGGAAGAAGCTCAAGAGAGACAAAGACAGAGAGAGAGAGATAGAGAGAGAGAGAGAGAGAGAGAGAGAGAGAGAGAGGTGTAACGGTTTGGGAAGTAAGAAAAGAGGCAAAATAACTGTTCACTTTCTGTGATTGCAACCGCCTCGTCAAACAAGAAAAAATAATGTCTTCTTCGCTTCTTTAGAATAACTTTAAAGGTGACCTGTTGAGATCTTTAACAGGTTAGGATAGGACTGTGGCCTATTTTCTTTGCACAAAATCATCCTTAGATATTGAGATTTTACTCTGATCAGTTCTGCTTTAGAGGCTTTGTCACTTTAAAAAGCATCTTTGAAAAACATCAGTAGAACCTGCTGCACAACCAACAGGAATGCAGCAAATGGTTTCTGGATGACAAGTCAACAACAGCAAAAACAAAAACAGCATTCAGAGACAGAAAAACAAAACAAAACAAAACTTGTTCAGCAACAGCACATAGTCACAATAAACATAAACTTATAGATGACTCAAGTAAAACAATTGCACATCTGCAACTTACTGTGACATACTGGGATCTATCAGAGTCTTTAATACATTCCAAACAGAACCATTGTACAGTGCATTCAGGGGTAAAACCAGCTGACCAAATGTGCTGGAGTTCTACTTGGGCTGCTAGGTATCAGGCTGGGCCTTGTTGCGGTTGGAGTTGGGTTCTCAACACCAAAAACCTGTTGCCAAAAAGCAACTGAGTGTTGTTATTTTTTTTATGCAATTGTGCTGCTTTTAGAGGCAGTTGTGACCCAAATGTAAGTATATAAATGTGCAAAATGTGAATTTTGCATAATAGATCCTCTTTAAAGTTAATGCAGCCTCTGTTTTCTTGACAAAATGGTTCAAAGAGGCTGGATGTTTTGTAGAACCACATTTTTTATTGCATCCTCAACTGAAAGCCAAAATATGTGAAAGTCAGTCATACTTTTAACTGGGTTTGGATCCAAACTTTGACTGTGCCATCAAGTGGTCTTTGGACTTTCCACAATGGCTCATAATAACTTTGGCTTAAAACAACAAACAACCAAATGAACTAAAACATTTGTTAAAATTAAGAAGCCAAACTTTTTTTCTTGGTTTTTCTGAAACAACTGCTTGGTCAGAAACGTTTAACCCAGTGAGGAGTAAAATGCTCCAGTTGGTGTTTGTTTTACTCCGGCACCGTTTTCAAACATGAAGTTATGTGTCTAAACATGATCTGAACCAGGACTGTGTGTGTTAATCCAGCTCTGAACAGGAGCAGACAGGATGTTGAAATGTTGGTTTATAGAGAATAGCATCTGACTCATGCTAGCATCTTTAACTCCACATTATGCACTGCAAAAACACAGAAACTTACAAAGTATTTTGGTCTTGTTTTTTGTTAAAATATTTATAATTAACAGAAAACAAGCTGGTGTTTCTTGCTGAAAAGTCACTTGTGAGTTAATTATGTCATATTTGAAGTGTAGTAACATGTTTGCATTAGAACCTAAATCAAACATTTTGTGTTTTTGCAGTGTATCATGACGCCTTCAGTGACCAATGAAAATGTTGCAATGACCAGATTAAGTAAATATAAATTTATATATATTTTGGTTTTAGTAGTTTATTGAAGTTGGTCTGTGTTTATTTTTTTATATTATACTAAAAACAAATAAATATATATCTTGGGTCAGCAACCATTTGAATTCAAGGAGCCACTTCGGCTATAAAACATATTACTTATAGCTGCAAACACTCTAAGTTCTCCATATTTAATATTATTATTTTAAAATGGAATGAGACTAAAGTAAACTCAATGTTTTCAGATTTTAGAACAAAAATGAATCAACTTACAAAGGAGAAAAATATGTTAATTTTTTTACAAGGCCAGTCCAGCAGCCCACTTAAAAATAAAAAAGCAAACAGTTTGAAGCTAAAACAAAAAAAAAAATCTATTATCATAATAGTAAGTGCTTTGTACCAATGGTTTCCTTCTGTTGGAGATATTTTATGCAGGTTTTGCATAAAGCCACACAGAATAGCTGCTAAAATACCCTTTATTATTACCTTTAAAATTAAATAAACAATTCTTACTTGGTTTAGTAAAAGCCACATGCTCAGAGTTACACAAATAAATTAGTATTGGACTAAAATTCATTATTTTACTAAATTGAAATAATAAAAATGGTTTAGATTCAGATATTGGAAGCCAAAAATTTTAAATTCTGACCAATTTTCTTCAAGCTTTGCTAAATTTCTGTCAGATTTACCTGTATTTATTTAACATAATCTTAACTAATGCTTATCCAGCCTTTCTAAATAAACTTTTATTCAAGTTGCTTTATTCTTTAACAACTTTTAACAATGCATATTTCTGTTTCTTTATCATTTAAAAAAGTCTCATTAGACGGGTTGTTAAACTCCTGAGCTGCAAACGTAGAAAACAAATTAATTTAAAAGGACAAACAAAACCAAGTCGATGTTATGTAATATATTACTTGCTTTAATAATAATAATAATAACAATAAAGTGTTTTCCATTAGAAAAATTAATCTCTTCTGTTGCACAGAGAACCCCACTGGTGGCACAATCTCATACAAAACTATAAAGATGAGCCAAAACATAATCAGGCGAACAAAGTCTGCATTGTTGGATCAAAGGTTCTGATCCGGAGCGTCTCCTAAAAAGGTTCCACCCGGTTTGAGGTTCTTCTTGGAGAGATAAAATAAAAATTAATCCCTGAGGATGAAAGTTGAGACGTCATAATGTTCAGACTCATTCAAGTCAAGGTTACTCTCCTACGTTTTACCAATTTTCTTACAAAACAAACCCAAATCCAAACCCTTTCGATCAGTATAAATATATAAACAAACACTCCACATGTCCGTGAGAAAACTCATCCCTCCTTCATCCGTCCTGTCTGAGTTTTTGCCGGCGATCTACTGCCCGGCCGATCCGTTGGTGTCGTCGCTGTCGGCCTCCCGGGGCGAGCTGGGAGCGGATCCTCCGACGGAGCCGGCGGCCGGCGCTCCCGGCCCGCCGGCCCGCCGCGCGGCCTTCCCCTTCAGCAGCGCGCTGTGCGGGTGCAGCGAGTGGAGGTGGCGGACCAGCTCGTCCTGAGTGCCGGCCGTGTGGCCGCACTCCTCACACACGTACAGCTTGTTGCGCCGCTCCTTGTACTTGTACTCCAGGGTGACGCTGTGGATCTTCCTCATGTGGGACTCCAGGGAGCAGCGCTGGGTGAAGGCCTTGTCGCACAGCGAGCATTTGTATGGGCGGACGCCTGGAAAACATCAATCAATCGATCGATCGAGTTGATTTCTATCGCACATTTCAGCAACAAGGCCAATTAAAAAGAAGAAACCAGCAACAAACATCACGTTTTGTCAGTACACATAAAATATATGAATCAATATATTCTCTAAACAGGCTGGGTTTTATGTGGATTTAGTTTAACTCAGTGTTTCAGCTGTTTTGCAGTTTTCTGGAAGTTCCTTCCAGTTCTGAGGTGCATAGAAGCTGAAAACTGCAAAATCACAAAATCTTATTTTTATTCTGTTTTCCAGTGCAAATATCTTAATACACTTGAAATGAGACAAAACGAACTTACAAGTAACGTTTCAATGAGATTTAGGAGCTTGTTTTTGAGAAACTCATAATTAACTTTACAATGGATAAAACTATAAATATATACATATACATATATATATATATCAAGATTAATGAGATATTTGCACCTAGATCAAAAGTCCCTGGTAATATTAATATATACCTGTGTGCGTGCGGACATGTCTCTTGAGGTCAAAGGTGTCATTGAAGCCTTTGCTGCAGAAGGTGCAGAGGTGTCTCTTGGTATCACTGTGGCACTTGATGTGTCTGTTCAACATGCGCTGGAACTGGAAAGTCTTCTGGCAAACCTGAAACCAGAAACAATTTATAGAACCATGATTTTTACTGAATCTACAACCTGACAGGAAGTCAACTGAGTTCTGGACTTTAAAGGTGTGTGTTGATCCAGACCAACGCACACCAACACCAGACGTCACGGTGATCTCACCTTGGTGATTTAATGGCTTTTTCAACAGAACAATGTTGTTATATTTACACTACTGATTTGTGTGTGCAGAATTAAAGCTTTAGTATGTAACTTTTAGAGAAAAATGTGTTTTTTATGAGTATTTGTAAACTCTGTCACCATGTTGTTCCAATTTAATATGAGACAAATAATTCTGTGAAAAGATCGATTTCCTCCGAGCTGCTATTGAAGAAATGAACAGCTACCGTCCAAAAACAACCAATCCGAGCCAGGGGGAGGGGCTTAGTGCTGTCAATCGATCTTGAGTACGCGCTACTAAATGTGAAACTCACTGTTACAAAAAAACTGTCATTGGTGGCTATCCTAACTAGCATTAATTCAATTATTAAAGATTATATATTGATCCAAATTCTTGCAATGTTATGATTTTATTATCAGAATTTTATCTTTCAGTTTTCACAATCCCTTTATATGGGCCTAAAGTGAAATATACAGAATAACTTTAAAACATTCATGGCTGGTCTGGATGAATCAATAATGAATGAATGAAATAATGAGATTAATCACTTTAATTGTCCAGTTATACCTGGCACACAAACGCTCCTGCTGTTGTCGGCGGCGTGTTCTGACTTTGGCCAGCTGGTCGGCTCACCATAGATGGTGGCGCCGAGGGGGCGGGGCTTTGTTTGGGGGCAGCTGGCATCACAGCGGCTTGTGGAGGTAGAGGTTGCGGACTGGGAAGAGTTGGAGGAAGAGGAGTGGGATCAGGAGGCATCTCGCCTGTTGTTACCTGTTAGAAAAAGAAAAATGCAGATCAAGCTTAAATTAACGAGGCTAATGCGTTTCTGCTAATGACGTTTTAGCTGTAAGAAGTTTTCCTTTGGCAGAGAAACTGTTTTATCCTGGACATAATTAGATATTATTATGACAACGTATCAGGAAAAAAAGAGGAGTATATTTCCACCAATAAGGTCAAAGTTTGAGATTAAAATCTGAAATTTCACTGAAAAGAACTTGGAAATTTCTGAGATTGAAAAGTCAAAAGTAAGCTAGAAAAAACTCTGAAATTTAAAATTTGTCAGAAAATATATGGATTTTCAAAACTTGGCATTTTTTACTTTTGAAACTCAAAAATTTCCAAACGTGGAAAATATTTTAGTTTTGTCTAGAAATTTCTAATAATAATTTCTGAGTCATAGAAATTTTGGGGGGATTAATCTCAGACATGTTAATTTTTTTTCTAAAAAATTTCAGAGTTTGAAAGGTCGAAAAAAATTTGACTTTTCAAAATCAGAACATTTGACTTTGAAACTTTTCATAGAGATAAATCTAAAATGGTCTGAGCTCTTTCTGACAAATTTTCCACTTTTCAAAATCAGAAATTTCCTTGTTTTTCTTTTTTGTGGAAAATTTCTGAGATCAATATTTTTTGGCATAAATCTGCTCCTCATGTTTTTCCATGGCTTTATCATTGTACATCAACTTCACCACTATAAAATATCAGAAAATAATCTAGTTTTTTATTTTTTTAAATATTGCATAGTGGAAACTGCAGTTGTGTTTTCTTTCTCACCTTCATTTTGGACCGGACGTACAACGACCCGCTGTGTAAGCTGCGCCTGATGTCCGACCTTGGCGGCGAGCCGCTGGGGCTCCGCGGTCGTCCCAGCGCGGTGCTGGACGGCAGCTGGGCGCGGCTGTCCGATGAAGAGTGTTTGGTGAGACAGAGAGGAACCGTCTCCGCAGGACTCGCCTCGACCTCCTTCATCAGACCCGAGTTCGGGAAGATGGAGACTGGATGGACAAGAAGGGCAGAAAACAACATGCTGTGATTATTTTACAATAACATATTTAATATGTCAGAACCTCAGGTTGGACGATATGGATGAAAAACAATATAAGCAGTCGATATCAATAATTATTGATCGGTTTTATCGTCTTAAAAATCTGAATCACTGCCAGACTTAAATTTCTGTTTCATGCGTAGTTTTCACTGAATGCCTTGTTTTGTTATTTTTAAGTTGCTTTAAGGTAGAGCGGCGTAACTTTAAACTTGTTTTACTTTATTTATTCGACTTTGTAGATTATAAAACCTTAACACCAATATTTTCAACGTCTGCGGTTATTTTAATTTAGTTTTATTATTGAATTCTCATATTTCTCATTATGTTGAAGCTCTTCTATGCTATGTTATCTGTTCAAAATAATGTATTATAAAAAAAAACAACAATAAGCGTCATCAACAGCTGGTAGAAATGAGAGGTTGAGCAGGTGAAGTCTCTCCTCTGCCTACGTCTCCCAGAATGCAGTGCGGTTCTGGAGTTACATTCTATTGATATTAAAATGATGATGCAAAACCTGGCAATGTATGTTTAAAAAAAGAAAGTAAATGTGGTTTTAAACTGGCAGATGTGAGCTGGAATACTGTTGACCAAAGGAGACAGAAAATTAAAGAAGAAAATTTCTGCATTACTGGGTTTCACAACATCTTCCACCGTTTCCTTATTTGCACAACGACTCTACTACCAAACACACAATCAAATAAGTGTGTTTGCATGGTTAGGTGTGCTCCTGTTTGGGCTATCGTCGAGTAACTCGCTTTGCACGCAGACACATGCCTGGAAACACACACACCAACCTATACAAAGACATCCCCATTACAGTTAAACTTGTTGAACCAGACGGTCTTGCAGCACCAGCTCTTTACCTTCCTCAAACAATCCACCTCCGCAGGGCTGAGCGTCAGGGTTTCTGCGTTATGGTAAAGGTGAACACTGAGCTTATTACAGTTAACTACTGAAATTGAGAGAACATTTTCATTAACACATGTAATATCCCTCGTTTATGTGTTTATGAATTTATCTATTAGTTTTTTTCCCCCATAGAAACAGTCGGAAAATTACATCACTCCATAATCCTTCAGGTGACACGTCGGCTAATTGGCAAAATGGCGACATAGATAGCTGGTTGTTCAACAATAACTGAATATTTATTTTTTTTGAACGGTATCACAACACAAAACTTCGACCATTTTGAATTATAATCTGCACCTAAAAACCAACAAGACACGAAAAACTAAAATATTAAGTAGTAAAAACATAAGTGAAACTAATAAAAATTAACAAATACACTCTGAAAATTTGCTAAAAGTAACTGAATCAGAAAAAGAAAACGTCACAATGACATAAAACCAGATTTTAACCACGGTGTGCAAGAGCAGAACATAACAGAAAATATCAAAGAAAGCAACCTGATTGACAGAAAAAGCCAACGGCACATTGTGAAGGCGTGCTTTTGTGTGTGTGTGTGTGTGTGTGTGTGTGTTTGTGTGTTTTTCAGGCCGCCCATTGGCAGGTGTGGCCCATAGAAAACAAGGAATCAGTTTATTTTGTCAGGCTTGAATCTGATAAAACCCAAATGTAAATGCAAATGTGGCCCCTGCAGCGAGCTTTAAAGATGAGAAGACACAAAAGCTGATCTATAAGCTTACACAGCTAACGGTTCGCCGCGGCACAGTGAGGGCTCTGTGCCGCCTCGGCAGCGTATTTCCTAATGAAATGCCACTCATGGAGCCCCAGTGGATCTTTACAGAGAAGCCATCTGGTGATGATGACGTCCTGTCAACAATACTAAGTTACGACTTCGCTGGGTGACGTGGACTTAAAAGTTTTATCACGATTTTTCTGTTTTCACAGCAATAATCACCACAAATATGCCTCTTAAAAAACATGTTTGTTTAGAACAATAATCATAAAGAAATGCTGTTTGTCTCACTGTGCAGTTAATCATATTTATTCATGGAGGAACAACATCTGATTGTTTTTCGTTTGCTGAAGATTACACTTGTTAAAAGGATCTGTTTCCACAAGCAGAAAGTAAATAACGTTTCCTTGAAATGGCCTAAAAGTCTTAATTACCTGTGTGCATTGATAGTTTCTGTGGCGACTGCTGCTTGTGGACATTTAATCTCAACTTGCATTGTTTGCTCACCCGTCCTTCCCCCCATCAGCAATGAATGAGATGTGTGTATGTCTGGGTGTAACTGGATGACGGGGTCCAAAATACCCAAACTTCTTTCATTTCATGACGAAGTGGAAGGAGGAACAGCAGTGCTGTTTGCACATGTTATAGTGTTTTATTTTTTTTTTATTTATAGCATTGCTCAGCTGAGAGAAAGAGTCAACAATCAGCAGATAACTTCATCAAACACTGGGTGTGAGTCAGGGTGTGTTTGCTAAAGGTGTATTGTCTGCAGCAACCGGCTGTTCAGAGGGTCCGTTACATTTTCCTCCATTCAATAAATATTAACCTTCAGGCAGCTTAAGCAGCGACACTGAGAGTAGATCCCAGGATACACAGAGATCATTTAAGACCCACTGATTTAACACTTGGGTCATTTCAGAGCCAAAATCTCCTATTTTTTACAGTTTCATGTTTGCTTTATGAATCCAAACGGGCAGCATTTGTTAGCCAGGCTTAGCATAAAGGATGCACATCAAACTTAGCTCTTTAAAACAATAGAGCAGCACAGACTTAACCTCTGGATGTATAACAGTTAAAACACAAACAAAATTCAGTTTGATTTCCTAAAATTATATCTGCTTTCCTGTAAATTTGCTGCAGCAACTGAAAGAAGCTATTTAGCTTGACTTGATTAAACTATGCTTAGATTAGCATTACAACTTGTAGACCACATTATCAAATACAGTTTTTTAATCGTAAAACAATACATTTTAAATTTAATTATGGTGAAAATGATAAAATAATATGTGAAACTTTCAGGGATTGTTTTGTATTTCCGTAAACTGCTGCTAAGCTTACCTTGGCTAAGTTTAGCTTAGCATGATGGAAGTTTCTGCTAATGAGGCAAAATTTACAAGCTGCCAAGTTTGTGCTAGTTAGCTTAGCTTAATTAAGTCCAGTTTGGGATGAGAACTGAAACAAACATGTTTTAATGTTAATAAACAATTTCTCATCATGTAAAGATCAGGAGAACTCAAGCTGTAACGCAACAATGTTTTTAGTTTATAAAATGCTAATCAGGGAAAATTTTATGTGTTTGACAGAAATACTTGAACCAATGTATCGAAAGTTCTTGTAGTACTTTGTTGTTTTTATAAATTAATGGACCAAATGTGTTGCTTCAAACAAAAACACCTGAGTTTTGTAGAGGGACACAATTTGACCCCTTAAGTCTAAAACTCTGAAAAGAGAACGGGATACAAAATCTATTTTTATAACTGAAAAACAATAATTATGCCTTAATTGATAAATATTTCTAATACCCCACAACTACAAACCTTCAGATTATCTTTTTTTTTAAGTTTGCAGGCATTGATGCTGGAAAAGATTATTTTTAAAAGAAAGTTCAGCAGGACGTGAACTTTTATAAATAAGATTTTTAAGATATTTACTTTATGTGAAGTTTAGATCTCATAATCATAACCAAACCTTCTTGGTGCAAAACAGAGTGATACATCCTGTTTCTTTTTCATATCAACTCGTCACAGTTAAACTACTTTATATTTTCTTTGTGCTGGTGGAAAATACAGAAAACAACATATGTTTCCTTACCTTTGACCACATATTTATACCATTAAAATAAACATGTTTAACCAACGAATTGATATAATTCAGAATATATCATGTTGTTGAGAAATATACATGAGCTAAAAGAGTTCTTGCATAAAGACACTAAATGTGGTATAACTCGCTCTACAGCTTACCGCTGACTTCTTAAGATAGGCAAATTTAAGATTTTTTTTCATGTAGTTGTGCTTTACATCTAAGTACAACCCAAATTAAACTATTTCCCAATTAAATATTCAGTGGGCAGTTAAATCTGAGCTTTGACGTGAAGGAAAACTGCATGTTTTTGTTGCTGTTTGTAACATTAATGCTCCTGTTACACAACTAAAGCCTCATCAGTTGTGTGTAATCTCAGAGGTGGGCCAAAGCAAACTGTTTTCACACCAATGACCCATCAGAAACTGGTCCTGGCACATGCTTGTGGATTATGAGATAAAAATAAAACTCCTACACACACAAATTTACACACCATCTAAAAATTTGTCCAAACTGATGGCATCCTGTGGCTTAAAAAAAGTATTCAACACGCCTCCCACTCTCTTTCCCTCTAAGG